TTTAATATTGCTAGTTCTCCTTGCATTCTAGTGACTTTTCTGTGGTATTAAGAAAGGAGGCCTGGGTAAATGGAGCAGATGTTTCTGCTTTTGTGTAAATAAGACTGTCTTCCTAGTAGATCTTTCTTTTCTTCTGGAATTTCTTCCTGGGATGGGCCCAGTGGTGTTAACTGGTAAACTCTGACTGAGGATTAACAGAGAGGGAGCTGGCTGTCAGGCTGAGTGCTTGCAAAATGCACAGATGATAATGGCTTCTTCCTTCCGAGGCCCCCGACAACTTTAGAAATGTTATATTTTCCCAGTTTGTTCAGATTCTCTTGAGGAGTCATCAGATGCGTTGCCTGGGGGTAAAATGCCCACTGCCTGCTCTGCGTATACATCACAGATGGGGTGCTGACTGGAAGGAAGTTGAACATATTCAGGTCTTTAAGTAATCTCTCTGCTTTCAGCTCAGGCTTTCACTCCCCCGCCCATCTGTGGTGTTTGCTGACTCAGCACCCAAGACATCTCTCAGGTTCCACAGGGAGATGAGCTGTCTTCCTCCACAGAGTGTCCGAGTCTATTCTAGGTTGGTGATTTCTCTGCCCTATTCTAATAGCTCTTGGCTACTTTTTGTATTCCAGAAATTTATAAAATATCTCAGCCTTTAGTAGCATGCACATGCCTCATTCTCTCTTGCATGCTGTGCCAGGCAGGGGCCCTTTTTAAAATTTTTATTGAATTTATTGGCTTGACATTGTTAGTAAAATTATATAGGTTTCAAGTGTACATTTCTGTAATACATCATCTATTACATTGTGTGACCACCCAGAGTCAGTTCTCCCATCACCATATATTTGACCCCCTTTATCCACTTCTATCATTTCCCTCCCCCCTTACCTTCTCATAACCATTTAATAGTCTGTATCTGTGAGGTTTTTGTTTGTTTGTTTGTTTATCTTGGTCATTTGTTGTTTTCAGTTTTATATTCCACATATGAGTAAAGTCATACGGTTCTCAACTTTTTCTGTCGGACTTATTTTACTTAGCATGATAATCTCAAGATTCATCCATATTGTCGCAAATGACAGTATTTCCTTTTTTCTTACGGCTGAGTAATATTCCACTGTGTGTGTATGTATCACATCATCTTTATCCGATCATCTGTTGAAGGACACTGGTTATTTCTATGTCTTGGTCACCATGAATAATGCTGTGATGAACATAGGGGTACATATATCTTTATGGATAAATGTTTTCAGATTTTGGGGGGTAGATACCCAGAAGAGGGATTGCTGAGTCATATGGTAATTATATTCTTAATTTTTTGAGGAACCTCCACCACTGCCTTCCATAGACGCTGCCCCAATCTGCATTCCCACCAACAATGTAAAAGGGTTCCTTTTTCTCCACAGCCTCTCCAACACTTGTTATTATTTGTTTTGTTGATGATAGCCATTCTAACAGGTGTGAGGTGATAGCTCTTTGTGGTTTTAATTTGCATCTCCCTAATAGCTAGTGAAGTTGAGCATTTTTTCATATATCTGTTAGCTGTTTGTATGACTTCTTGGGAGAAGTGTCTATACAGGACATTTGCCAATTTTTTAATTGGACTGTTTGTTTTTTGTTGTTGAGTTGTATGAGTTCTTTATATATTTTAGATATTAGTCCCTTATCAGAGGTATTGTTTGCAAATATCTTCTCCTATTTGGTTGGTTGCCTCTTTGTTTGTTGATGGTTTCTTTTGCTATGCAGAAGCTTTTTAGTTTGACACAGTCCCGTTCATTTATTGTTGCTTTTACTTCCCTCAGGCAGGGGCGTTGCTTTTAGCCATTACTCACACTTCCTCTGCTCTGCTCTCTAACACAGGAAAGTTACCCCTACAAATAACATCTCTGTGCCCACTGGTTTCCATCTAGTTCCAGGCAGTGGAAGCACAGGTGAGATATTGGAGTGAGGGGAGTGGAAGAAGGTAGGACATTTTTCCCTTCTCTTTCTGCCTTGGCCAGCATCTCTAGAAGTGGCTGTATTACTTCCATCTTGGCTAACAACCCCAGCCCCAAGCAACCCCTTTCACCGTGGTTCCAGTTCCTGCCATGTGGTCCTTTCTCCTCGGCTCTGGTGAAAATATCTTCTTTGGCCTCATCAGCCCTAGTAGTCATAGTGCCACCTAATGTTGCTAATTTATCTGGCTTTTAAGATGTTCCTGCACCTTCAAAAAAAGTTCCCCAAATTGAGTTCTCTCTATTGAACTATTTTGCTCAATTTTACTGACTGAACTCTGAGAGATACAGACATAAAGTGGGAATTCTACTCTATATGTCTATAATTTTAATTCAGTGAGGTCTTGGGAGAAATGGGAGGCCAATGCATGTATTCAGTCTGCCATGTTGAATTGGAAAATATGTGCATTTTGTGGCTTTCGATACATAAGGCCAAATTGCCTACTAGAATGTTTGCATCAAATGACATTTCCACTAACAGTGTTATGGTGTCCATATCCTGACACCCTCAAAACACAGGGGATGGATGCTTCTTTTTAATCATAGCATTCAATCTTTGTATGGGGATCCAATAAAAACGTCAAGTTTCCTTGGCTCAGGAGATCTCATCTTTGTGTTGCACTAACAGCTGGAAATGATCTAGAGGAGATACAGCCAATAGTCCTCGCCTAACATTTGACTCAAGACGGCTGGCCAAGTTACTAAGGAGCCCAGAATCCCAACAGGCTGAGAAAGACACACAAAGCAGCTTTTCCAGTGTATGCTTCTGATATCTACAAGGAAGGAATTATTCTGGCTCTCTAGAAAAGTAAAGTTCCCCCAAATAAATAAAATCATAGCTGAGCTCCAAATTGTTAAAGCATGACTCAAAGACGAGAATGTCTTACAAAAGTCTGAGTGAAAATCAACTCCTAATGTCCCTGCTTCCTAGCTTAGAAATTCATTGGAAAAAATTGCCACCTGTCTCCACAGAATCTCACATAGCTTCCCAACTGGGGGACTAAAAACAGAATGAGAGCATTGGAAATAAAGAACTTCTAATTTCACCTTATGGAGTAGTGTCATCCTTGTAGCCCTCACTGAGATCCTGTGGAAATATCAATCTGGAGTCTTAATTAGACACATCTGGCCATGACTCAGTCTATTTTATGGTGGCTTTGCCAGATACTTATTTTCCCTGATATAATGCTCTCAATATTCGTTCCCTTATCAACTGCATCCCACTCACCAGGCACCTCCTCTGTGCCTTCCATGTGCTTTCTACCTGCACAGAGAGTGCATGGAGATGTGCCTTTCATCAACTAAGTGGCTATGCTCTAAAAGACATAATGTACCCTCTTTGGACCCAGTTTCCTTATCTATTATTATAACAAAAGAGGTTAACTGATCCTGTAACTTCCATCCAACTCTGAGCAAGAGCTGTAATTGCTGGGAAACAGGTGTACTCAGGAAAGCCATAGCTAGGGCCTTATATTCACAAAGGGCCTCTAATTTGGCCATTTGATCTGGCCTTCTAAAAAGGTTATTTGATTTTATTTGTTATGTGTTTAAAGTATGATTTTAAGTATTTCAGTGTGCTACAATTTTTGGTATCCAGTTCTAGCATTTCTTCTTTTATGTTAAACACTCCAAGAGATTCAAAAAATGGAAGTGTCTCAGCTTTCTCTAACATCTGAGTGAGTGAGGCCCTATTATTCAACGAGCCTATTTACATCTCTCTCATTCTCCCTATGGTCTATGAACAGGTTACTGTGGGATGGAGAAGAGATTTGGTTTTATGAAGTGACGAACTGGTGTTCTGACTAAACTCAAATGTTTTGGTGACTGCTGGGGTGGAACCCAATAATTCTGCCAAGTTAGGATTAGTACCAGCTCTACTTCCTCTCAGTGGAGATTCAGCCCAAACTCACAGTTAAAGAGAAATAAAACAAATCCACGGTGCAAGTAGACTTCAATTATAACAATCACCAGAAATTGTTTTCAAAGCTTCAAAGAAAGAAAAATGGAAAACCTCATCAAACACATTAACACACTATTTGTAATTTGCCTAATGGATATCTTTGTTGAAAACTATTGCTAAAGAGATGGGTGAAGAGCCAAAATGGTCAACAGATTAGGCCAAATCAGGCAAAACAAAAGCCCCCAGGACCTCTTTTATTCCACTTCACCACAGTCTTCCACACACGCTGTTTCTTATCAGTCTTGTCAGTCACAGCCTGCTCCTTTGAACGCTCAGTATCAAGGTAAGATTCACAGATTATTTTACAAAATAACCATCTATCACTTTATATAGTCACAAAAGTTGTAAAAGTGTACTAAATATATGTTTTACTTTATATCTGAGGGATTTCATTTAGTTCCTTACTAAAGATGGGATATCAAAGCATTGAGTATGATTGAAACATTCAGTGTATGCAGTGGTTTTATTTAAACATAGGTTAAGTTTTGGAAGTCAATTCACTTTTCAGTCTACTAGAGCATCAAATAGGAAATAACCAGCAGGAGTCAACAATGTATGGTGCAGGGCTATGAAAAACTGAGTGCCTGTTTTGTGCTATTTGGCTCAAGCACAGACACTAATTTGTCCATATAAGATACCACGTCTATCCAGCCACTTTTAAATGAAATCTGTTCTTTTCTCAGTCTTCCTTACTGCGCAGCAAATGCCTATTCCAACCCAATCCAGTTCTTTGGTAATGGGTGAAGCAAAAGATAAGAGCACTGTTTTCATGTATTTTCAAGATCAAGTTTTGCTCTCTGTTCTCTGCCCAAGTAGCTACCTGAGTACGTTTTCTCTATATTCTATGTGATGCCAAAAAGCAAAGTACATTTTGTAGTTGACAAATGGCATCTCTGTTTTAGAAAAACAATTTTTCTGGGAAGTAAGAGGTTTTTCAAATTTTCTGCAGATGTCTGGAAATTCAGAGTCTCGAAGCAAAAAGAAAAACCAAACACACACACACACACACACACACACACACACACACACACACACGCTGAAAATTTTCTATTTAGATGTCTACCAATATAGAGATATAAAGAAAAGTAAATCCACCCTTTTTACAAGTCCCAAGGTCCATCACTAATGAGCCCACAGCCAGCAAAGGGCTGGGTTTCAACACAAGGAAGGGTCTGGGTCTGGCTACAGCCTTCAACATTGATGGGGAGTTGCTGAAGCTGTGTGATTTAGGAAACCCTGGGGCACACGGGGCTTCTGGATAGCACTTTTGCACTGTAGATTAGGCTGTGGCTACTGCCTCTGTGCAGCATCTGCCTTATCTGGTGTTCAGACAAGAAGTACATGTGAGCAGGTCTCATTGGAGGAAGCTGGCTTCCAAAAAGAGGTTAAGTGGCTAGCTTGAGAGAAGAGAGAGCTAGGCGTGGGAGACCCAGGATTGGGCCATCAGAGTTAGGGATTCCAGCCCTCTTTATCCTGCTGTGACGCTATCTCCACTCTGCTAAAACAAAGTGTTGCTGTAATTATCCACCAGTGGGGCAGGCATCCGTGCTCTTTGCTGTCATTGGGGGAAATGATTCCGGTTAGCAGTAAACAACGTTTACTTCTGTTTTGGAGGTCCACATGCATGGGGCAGGTATGGTATTAATTCTTTCTGGCAGCCATCTCCTGGAGGGAAAGGGAGAGCCAGAATGATGTCACAGACAAATAGAAAGGAACAGCAAGTTTTACACATGCTGGCTTTACAACGCTAGCCAATTCCCCCTGTGACGTCTGACTGGAGCTGAGTAACGCACTTGAGAACGGTTTTGCCATTCTCTCAGATACAATCTTTAACCCCTTATATGAATGGATCCTGTGACACCGTGGCATGGGAAAAACTGATACACTGTCAGGCTAAACACATAACAAAATTTAAACTGCTTTTATTCTCCTCCTTCGGATTTAAAGATGCCGGGGACAGTACTGCTGATAACTTCTCGTGCTGGTGTGGCAGAAACGGCCACATCAGAGCTCTGCCTCACATGCCTGCTCACCTCCTGATGGCCATCCAATTAACCTATTCTGGACCCTCTTATTCAGGGTGCTGCAAGGCGTTCCCACTTCGACAATCAGCTTCATTCTCACAGCTTACTCTTCTGTCTCGCTGGAATCGATTTTCTTTGTGATAGGGTGGGACCTCACAAAATTTCATTCTTTAATAGCTCACATGGTTTTTGCTGTACTATGAAACCATCAATATCTGTACAATATTATTCTTTAAATTGACTAATTTTTTCCTATTATGTTAAAATTTATATCACTACTGTAAATGGATAGAGTATATTAGTTGCCTTAAATAGAAGGTAGCTAAATATACATATACATAGTATATGGTATGTGTATATATATCATATGTATATATAATGTGTATATATATATATATACAGACACATATATATACATACACACACAATGAATACAAAAACATGCTTTAAAATTTAGATAAATAATGGTACCTTATATATTGTATGTCAACTACAATTATATATACATACAGGGCGTGGAGTAGAGAGTAGGAATGGAGTCAATGGAATTTTAATAGATAAGTATGATATAGGGGGTGGGAGGGCAGTAGATGGAGGAGGGGGTTTGTTTCTGTGTGAAGGGTGAAAAGGATAACTATTGCATTGTTCTGTACACCTGAAACTAATAATAAAAAATAAATAAATAAATAAATAATGGTACCTTATGGTAAAGGCTCTGAATGTGATGTCTAGACACTCTCTATTAAAAAAAAAGAAAAAAAGAAGAAGGGTAAGGGATGCTGTAAGGAGTATTACACATATGCCAACACTAAATTAAGATTTTCTCCTTTGTGTGATCAGGATTGAAAGAAAATTAATTTTAAAAAATCATTTTTTCATTATGGGACTCAAAGTAATGATGTTAGGTCAACTAATATCTTATGTGCTGTCACACTTTGGGAAATATTTCAATGAAGAGTTTGGGGAAATATACCTAAATTTAAAAGAACATTTCTATCACTCAGTTAGACACTAGTGAGAAAGAGAACTTGAGGAAAGGGTAGATGTTGCTTTTCCCCAGTCAATTCGATTCTACATTCAATATGAACTATGGACTCATATATTTCAAGTAGCTTATTCTCTTATTGGTGAGAAAAAAGAAATAAATTTGAAACAAGTGCAAGACAAATCAACACTCAATTAAGGGTGTAGGCTAGCTGAATATCTGGGGCAGATGAGAACACACAGGAGCCTTTGGGTTCCCCTGCATGAATAAAGCACAGAAAGTAGCCCCTAGAGGCAGGCGAATTAGAAACAGGGAACACATTTGGATGGAAGTACCCCACCATCCCCCCCCCACCCTTGTCCAGTTCAGGGCATAACAAGAGAAGGAAGCTGGGATTTCTGCCCCTACTTTTCCACCCCAGGAAGTACTATCAATGTGCAAAAGAGGGAGAGAAACCCCACTCACACTCCTAAAAACGTGGTCCTTGGATGCTCTATTTCCTTTTTCAAGAGCTGGTGTGTGTTGTGTAGAGTATGGACCAAGGAGGGCTTTAGCACAAAGTATCCTGCAGGAACAGAGTGAAAAAAACAAACAAGTTTGTTGAAACATATGGCAAATGTTTTAAAACAGGTTTTTATAATGCAGCTAATTATTAAAAACTAAAGAAAATGTTTTGCCTCCTGTTTAAATCACCACCCAGTGGCTTTCTATGTGTTTTCTAACAAATAACAATAGCAATAGTGCAGCCTTTTTTAAGCATGAGGACTTTCAGTGTCTATAGATGGAGAAAATACATAATGATCAAAGGCTGCTGTTAATTCAGCGAAGTAAGTGAATTTGTATTTTATTCATCACCTCCCCTATAGACATTTAAAAAAATAGCAGTGTGTGTTTATATGACATATTATTTATTTAGTCTACCCATACTAAATGTGCATATGGATTTACAGACCCCCTCACAGTAAATGCTGCTACCCCCAGGGGTCCCAGACCTACTGGTCGGGAACCAGGGAAAAGGACAGGTTTATGATTGATGACAACGTGGAGGGCCTAGGGCACATCTGCTGGTCTTCCTTCGCTTTTATCATCCTGACCCTCACACTTTCCTCCTGAAACTCTGCACTCTGCTTTGTGTACTGAAAATATTTTCTGTATAAACTTCAACAAGTTGGTTATGGCTTCCACCATGGAAAGTTTTATTTTTTTTTCTTCCAAAAAGTGAGTTGCACTTTGAATGGACACTTGCACAACTGGGAGAAAAGCCATTCTTTTTTATTGTAAAATTCAAGATGCACCCATTCTGCTGTATTCAATGATACTGTATTCCTGAAGCATTTGTTGCATGACTCTTCATACCTTGGTGACACACGTATTCAATAATAAATAAAAACAAAAGGATTTCTTGCATCTGAGTCTAGTTTCCCTTTGCATCATTAACCAACAGGTCAACAAAAATCTACCAATAAAGCTATTACTTGCTGCACAAAGCACAGCTTAATAACATTGCAAGCTTACTTTCTGGAATTTTAATTCATTTGTCCTATCAAATTTTATCGGAGGTTATGATTCAAAATGTGCTTGTGTACTTTAGCCCAACAGTACTTTCCTTTGTGGAGGGGTCTGCCTTTTGTGTGATCCTATAGACAATTCTTTCTTACAAGCAGTTCCTTCAATCTCTCATACACATATGTTCCTGCAGTCCCCTCTCCCTCTTGCATCAACAATATCTTCCTCTTATTTTAGCACAACACTCTAATCAACTTGTCTATACTTGCTGTCCACATAGACTCATGTCCTAGCCAGTTTCAACCCACTCCCCTCTGGCTTCTGTCCCCATTACTCCACTGAAAGTGCTCTTGTCACAGTCACAAACCACTTCCATATGGGCCCAAAGATCACTTTTTAGTTCTCAGGTCACTTGCTCTCTCAGATGCATCTGACATGTTGACAATTCCTCTTTAAAAACTTGCTTGTTTATTTCCATAATACTCTTTCACACATTCAATTCAGGACAACTTGTTCTGGGCACAAAGAATAGAACACTAAAAAAGAAAGACTGGGGTCTCGATACGCAGTGACAATGGAGTGTGCTAAATGTTATGGTGGAGAAAATAAAGTGCTAAGAAAGGACCTATGAGGAAGCCTAATTGGATTTGGAAGGTCAGGAAAAGCTTCCTGGAGAAGTAACATTTAATCCAAGACCTGAAAGGTGAATAGAAGTTAGCCAGAGAATGGAGGGAGCGTAGTGGCAAAGGGTGCCGAAGACCAAGGAAGAGTAAGATGCAAGAGCTTGGAAGTGAAGACAGAGCATGGAGAGCTCCAATGGTTTAGTGCCAATCATATGTAGGGATTTGGGCGTGGGGGGTAGAGAAAGCGGTAAAAAAATGTCCCTGGAGTGAGGAGGCATCGCATCATGACAGGCCTTGTAAGACAATTTAAGAATACTGGACTGTTATTGAAGGCAGTGGGAGAGCCATTGAAGGATGCAGAGCCAGAGAATGACTGAAGTAGGAGAAAGGATTGCAATAGGGCAAGGTTAGAAGAAGAAAGGCTCGTTAGGAGTCTGTGACATTGATCTAAACAACAGAGAGTGGTAACGTTATTGGCCATGACAGAGGAAGAAACAACAACATTTACTGATTGATTTGGGGCCAGAACGGGGGACAACGCCTGGTCAGGGAGATGGGAGAGTCAATAATAATAACTGTGATGAGCTATGTGGTGGTGCTTTTCACTGATTTGGAAAGCACCCAAGTAGGAATAAGATGTAGCTAAAGGTGGAAGGGAGACTATAAATTCAGTTGGAGTTTATTGATGCTCTTCAAAAGCAGAGGCATGCTTGTACAGGCAGTGGGGACCCTGAAAAGTACTGGCTCTCCTCTGACCCTCTAAGAGATAAGTAAGGGATGAGGAAATAATGACAATTTCTCTGTTCCTAGGAGCCTTCTTAGGGAGCATGTGTGAGTGACCCACAATACAAGATGGGCACTCTGGGAATGACATGCTTCTAGAGGGGAATCTGCCTTTCTTCTTAGCAGGACACTTCCCATGACAGTCAGAAGCCACAGCTCAACACCCAGGGCTCTGACAATTGGGGTGTCAGGGAACCTTCAAGATGAATCAGACACTTAGTGCGAAAGGTCACATGGCTTCATTGCCACGTTCTCAGCAGTATGCTTTAAGAGGCCTCAGAGGTCGTGGCTGAGGAGTTGAGGGGAAGTCGGAGTAGGCCTGAAGTAGCTAAAGCCTGAGCTGGGGGTTCTTGCCCTTTTTCAGGATTCTGGCAATGCCTTGGCAACAGATCCAGGTTTGGGGTCAGCAAATCAGACCAAGTTGCTATAAGTATAGAGAGATGAAATATAAAGGGAGAACAGAGCTTTTTTTCATCTTAGCTTTGTTGGCTCATACATTTCCTTTTGTATTTTAATGGTGCATACCATTTGCAGTGGAGGTCTCATTTCTTGCAAGATCATTGCTTTTGCAATCCTATCTGGAGCAATATACAAAAAGGATCATAAAAACATGAGGAACTGTATTTCAGTCATTTTTAAGAAATCATTCAAATCGTTAGATATTTGTTTAATGTCAGTATACTTCTAACGCCCCTAATTGAAATAGTTTCTTTCTCTGTGCTGTTAGCAGTGCAAAAATTAAAGAATTCAAGTTGTATGGTCCAAGGGGACCACTTTTTGTTTTGTTTTGTTTTCAACAGGAGGTTTTCAGTTTATATTCTCACTACTTATCATCTATCGAGTCCTATGTCTCTCTCCACGCTAACACTTTATATACTAATACAACATGCCTCATTAAAAGGCTGATACACTCACCATTCATGGGGTGTATTTCCCTCTAGGCGGTCAGTTAGGAATTCCCAGAAAATTATGTCGAGTATATTTGAAGGGTTGAATTTCTTCCACAAATGAGTACATTTTTCCTAAGAACTACAGCAGGAGATACAAGGATTAGAGCTCATCGGTGACCTGAATTTCTGTAAGCAGAGCACGATCAGCTCTCAACAGCGCCTTACAAAGGTTGGCCAATTCCCTTCGGCCATGTTAGTCGTTGTTAGGCACACCAGGAGTGACTTAACTCCTTTTACAAAAAAAAAAAGCAATTGTTCTGGTGCCTTCCAGGCATGTTTAGTCATCAGCACCATCTTTTGTTGCTTCCAGCATCATACTACACCCATCCTGTCCCCTGTAATAGTTTTAGCTAAAATGGAAGTGGCGGCAGATTAACACTAATCATCCCGCACCAGTAACACAGCTATTCTTGTGCACCAGGCACTGTGCTGATCGCTGTTTTACATGATCTCATTTAATTCTCAGAACCACCTGTGATGTGGAATTATTGGCTGCATTTTAGAAATTACAAAACTTAAGTTCAGGGAGAGGAAGACATTTCCCAAGGGTCACCCAGAACTGGGGTCTAAACTCCATTGCTTGACTCTTGAATCTTTTTCTTAATCACTAGACCAATGGCTTGCAAATTTTGTTCCCAAAGGATGAGGGGGCAGAACTCCAGGATCCTACCCCAACCATAGCAACTCTTCTTTTGGTGTTTTATGTACTGAGGTCCAGTGTAGAGCTCATGGAAGTAAGTGCTCACCAACCATGTTTTAAAAAGTCTGAAGCTCTTGCATTCGCCATGAGCAGCATCTAAACCAGATCTGTATTTACACGGAGAACCCAGAACTGTCTGTATTGTGCACTCTAGTGCCACTAAATAACTGACTAAATGTCAGTAGCACTGATTGGCTACAAAGTA